AAAGATATTAAATTAATACATTCAACACCTTAGCCTTACCATCCCAAAACGAATGGGTTAGCTGAAATAATACGAACATTTAAGAGTGGATATTTTGCCACTAGAAAAGATATTTAGGAACCAGAGGAAGCTATGGGAGAAGTTTGACGGCATACAGAATGGGCGAGCACTAATCAACTGGACGTTTATCGGCAAAATTATTGTTGGAGGATTAGATTGGTTACACCCAAATGCTAAGGATGAGATTGAACGATCTAATATGCGACAAAGACAGCGCATGATGAGCACATTCAAATGAGGGGATTAGAGGTTTCCTAACCTGCATAGATACTTAATGAATTCAGGTTGGAGAGAAGGAATTATAAAATCCACTGGTAGATATTCCTATTTGGTAGAAAATAAAGATAGAACGATACAAGAGCACGCTGATCAACTGCGAAAATGGGATATAGCGAAAGTAATGGAGAAGTCAGGGGGGGGGGAAGAAAATAAAGAAAATATGGAGTCGGAAATAGTTGAGAAATTGTAAAATGTAGAAGGACCACCTATATAGAGAGATAACGGCGAAATGGAAAAGACTGATGAAAATTCGGGTCCACAGAATATGTTTTTATTACTTCGAGAATTAGAAACAACAATGAAGAGAAAAACACATCGACCGAGGAAGCCTACACATCGTCTGATTGAGGAGTTTTTAAAGTGTGGAGAAATGTGATAAATGCTACATAAGATATTATTATAGTTCATACATTTCATATTACATTCTATTTGGATTATATTATGATAATTATCATGCTTTTATGATTGATAGCGTTAACATATTTTTCGTTATGTGGAATAAATGATTACACAATAAAGTTTACTTTAGGTGACGCAAGGTGGTATGTAACACTTTCCTTGAGAGAATTTGGTGTATGATTTTAGTGGTAAAAAAAGTGTGGTGGGTTATTTTGTTGAAGAGGGAATGAGATCGAGGCATAGTAAAAAAATATAAAGGTTTTATCGGAGGAGGAGTGTATATCTATAGTTAAAGCATAAGAAAATAAAAGTCTGAGGCTAAAAGTTTGGAAGTTAAAGGAGATTTAAAGAAATAAATTTATTACCTCACACAGTTTTAAATAACAACTGGGAAATGATAAAAAAAAAGATTTGGTTGATGGAAGCGGAAAAGGTCTGTGATTGACAAAGGAACCGTTGAAACATGAAGAAACGTGGTAGTGGAAACTTGACGTATCCTAGACAATTGATGAGAAAAAAAAGATGCTTCAAGGAATGGATAAAAACTATGGCGGAGATTGACATATAAAAATATAAGATACCAAAAAGAAATGCTAAAAAAGTAGATGCGAAAATGATGCAAGAAACTAAAAGGCTGGAGATTGCAGGGGAGTTGGAAAATGAGAAAGGGAAGAGGAATATGTTTAGGATTGCTAAGCAGAGGGTGAAAGAGATAGGATGTAATGGGTGTGAACTGTTTAAAAAACATTAAGGGAAATGATTGCTAGTAATGAAATTAAAAATGTTTGGAAGTTGTATATGGAAATTCTATCGAATGAAGAGAATGAATGGGACAATGATATGAAATGGGCAAAGGTGGATGTAGATTTGACAAAGATGAAATTAGAACTTTAAAGCATGAAGTAAAGAAGGGCAAAATAAAATATACAGATTAGCCAAACAGCGAGAAAAGAATTCTAGTGATATAAACGGAGCTTCGAAAGTAATCAAAAACAAAGATGGGAAATTGATAATAAAGGAAAAAGATGAATAGTTGGAAAGAATATTTTCAGGAGCTTCTCAACTTTAATGTCCACATACTACATCTAGACGAACACTCCCCATGTCAAAACCTTGTACAACCTATAACAGAACAAGAAATAATCACTTGCCTCAAGCATATGAAAAACAATTCCAATAGAAAGCCTTAAAGCACTAGGAGATGAGGGAATACACCTCCTCACAAATCTGTACAATAAAATACTGAGAAATGAAGAGATCCCTCAAAAATGGAGGCAGAGCTATCTAGTTCCTTTCTTTAAAAATAAAGGGGATCCATACAATTGTCAAAATTACAGGGGCATAAAACTAATGTCACACTGTCTAAAACTATACGAAAAAATAATATAAAAAAATTAAGAGACATAATCTAAATAGGAGAGACTCAGTTTGGCTTTATGCCTGGAAGATCAACAACTGATGCTATCCACGCAATTAGGCAAATGAGTGAAAAATACAGGGAAAAGAACAAAAAGCTACACATGGTCTTTCTCGATCTAGAAAAGGCCTTTGATAGAATCCCAAGAAAACTTATCTGGTGGGCGCTACGCCACAAAAAGGTTCCCAAAAAATATATAAGAATAATATAGGATATGTATATGGGCCATACAACAATGGTCCGTAGCACAACAGGTACTTCAGCAAGCTTCACAATAGCCGAAGTAGTTCATTATGAGTCGGCTCTCAGCCCACTTCTTTTCATTACAGTAATAGATGTATTAGCACAGTCTATACCTCAAACAGTCCCGTGGAATATGATATTTGAAGATGATATTGTGATACTTGCCGAATCCAAGGATGAAATGAAAGAAAGATTAGTGAGTTGGATAAATATCCTAGAAAAGCATGGACTAAAGGAGATGAAACAGAGAGTATTGATATAAATGAATGGCAGATATCAGCAATTGAAAGCTGCAAATATTTGGGCTCCACTATACAAACAAACGGCACAATAGAAAAGGAGATAAAGAGTAAAATAAATCAGGAGTTGTTAAAGTGGAGATCTTTATCTGGAGTGCTATTTGACAAAAGGATCCCACACAAATTAAAGGGAAAAATTAACAGTTCAGTACAACCAACTATTCTATATAGTTCGGAAACATGGCCAACCAAGGAATCAGACGAGAGTTCTACAAACTATGGAGATGAGAATGCTGAGATTGCTGGGGTAACCAGAAAGGATAAAGTGCGCATTACAAGAATACTAAGTAGTTTAAAGTAGAGATCTGCAAAGTTAGGCCCGGCCCGTACCCGGCCCGAAGCCAGTAATTATATTTTAAATAATCGGGTTCGGGCCGGGCCTAATATTTTTATAAAAAAATCGGGCCAGGTCGGGTCGGACCTTGAAATTTTTTTAAATATATCTAAATTTATCAATTTTATATTGAATTTTTTATGTAAAATAAAAAATTTTGATTTTATTTATTGAAACTAATGAGTAATTATTAAAATTAATTTCTATATTTAAATAAATTCGGGCCGGGCCGGTTAATTTTTTTAAAAAATTTTTGGATTCAAGCCGGGACGGCAAAACTTTTTTAAAAAAAATTCGGGTTCGGGTCGGGCGGGCAAAACCATTTTAAAAAAATTTCGGGCCGGGGCGGTCTTGAAAATTAGGCCCGATGCAGATCAGTAGTTTAAAGGTAGTGTCCATTAAGACTAAGTTAATGGTAAACAGACTTAGGTGGTATGGGCACACAATGAGAAGGCCTATGAACTACATAGGAAATAAGGTTGAGAGTTTGGAAGTGATGGGCAAACGTAAGAGCAAGGCCAAAACTTCAATGGGGCCATAAAGTTAGAGCCAATATAAAGAAGTATAAGTTAGATAAAAGAGATTGTATGAATAACATAAAGTGGAGAGAGATGTTGAAGGAGCTTACCACCAGAAAAGGTGAAAGCTAAAGAGAAAAAAATAAATATTATATTTCCATTAGTATTACTTCAGCATGAGTATTCATAAAATAATTTAATGGGCTTGGGAATTTTTTTTGAAACTAATCATGGGCTTGAGAAATTTTTTTAACATTAGATATGGGGGCCGGGCTTGGGCCTAAAAAAAAATTTTACTGCGGGCCTGGGCCGGGCTTGGTCAAAAAATTAAGGCCCATGAAGGTCTCTGATGCCGATGCAAGAACGGTGGTCATATAGTTTCGAGGTAAATGTAGGGCTTCGTCAGGGTTCGGTCTTGAGTCCATTATTTTTTATTACAGTAATGGAATTGTGGCTAGAGGAACTCGTAAGGGACTCCCATGGGAAATACTGTATGCTGATCACTTAGTAGTGATAGCAAAAAGTAAAACAGAATTGAAGGATAAAATAGTTAGATGGAGAATGGATTAAAAATGAACATAAAAACGATGAAGGTGATGTTGGGAGGTAAATGTGTAGAAAAGATCGAAGAGACAAGCATGTGGTGTATGTGGGTAAGGTGTTGCTAGAAACTCCATCAATTGTACCTGCTAGCGGTTCACAATAGGTAGTGATGTAAAGGGAAACAGTGGGCAAGAGCGTCGTTTTTATGTAGTGTGTGAAAGAAGTGAAAAATGATTGTAATATAACTGGTATTCTGGATGAAAGTTCTAGATAATGACATGAAAATGTTATTTTTAACCCAGGACGACGCCTTGGGCCGCGAATGTAGAAAGGCAAATAGAAGGGAAAATAGCTTACCCGGGTAAACCTGGGAAAGGGCCACTAAACGAGGAAGAAGTGATAAATTGTAAACATTTTTGGTGATAGGTAGTTTAGGAAGAAATTTTTATTAGCTCAAAATGATATTTCTATAAACAAGAAAATTTCCGAAGGGGAATTTTTCCATGCCCCCCCCTCCGGCTACACCTATGAAATGTAAAAATTATAATTTATCGTTCAATTATATATTTTAAATTCAATAATTTTTTGTAACTCATTCCTAAATTTGAATAACAAAATTCTAAATTAGGAATTATGCACATCTTGCATAATTATAATAAAAATTATCTATATACATTTGTAAATAATTGTATCTGTGTACCGATACTTTTTAAATGACGTATAGGTATCTAGATCCTTTTTTGGATATATCTGTGTCTAGAATCGTTTGAAAAGTATAATTTAACAACTCTGGTAATGCAAAATGTTTATAAAAGATTACGACGGTTTTGCTTGCAATGAGACCGACCAGAAGCTTAGTCAAGTTCACATAAGATAATGAATAAGTGGTATTGTCAAAGTGAAATTACAATTGGAAGCTTTTGAGCTACGAGTAAGCTTTGATAATACTTGACATTAGCTTCGAAGCGTTTGCGATCAAATATGCAAATACTACCAGGTACGAATCGTTTAGTTCCGTCGAACTCATAATAATATTGTCCCGAATTGCATCTTTGAGAGCCATCCAAAGTTATTCCGTCTGTTACAAACAATATCAAACTGTGGCATAGTCTGTTATTCACTTGACTCAACATATCGAAGGCCAGTTTAAAAGCCGCCCTAATATTAAATAATAGTAATTATATTAACTGTAAAAAAATAGTTATAATATACTAGATGTATTTATAGATTATAAATTAATATTACTGACATTATATCAATTTTTAATTTTTCAAAATAACCTTTGTAAAATACATATCAATAAGTAATTTAATTGATATAAATTGGTTCCATGCAAATTCAGGCAAATATTTATCGCCAAAGTTTATTACCAAATGCATTTTATCGCGAATCCACAATAGCGAATACTATCCGGCGAAGAATAAATCGCGAAATGAATATCACGATTTTTTTATCGCGAAACCTTTATCGCGAATATATTGCAGCGATACTTTTATCGCGAAAAAATTATATAGTGAAGTCATTATCGCGAAACTCAAATATAGAAATAGCTATATCGGGGAATCAATATCGCGATAGAATATCCATTTTCGTTCGTGATTGCATGTTATGTATGGTTAATAAAGAATCTAGAACAAAACTCATTTTAACTTAGACATAAAATATGGTATCTGGATGATGGCACCCTAAAAATATTACAGCAGCGATAGATTATATAGAGTTGAATTCTCTAAACATATGTCATACTCTAAATAAAACTAAATCTGAAATATGCTTTTTAAATTCAAATGCCCTCGAAGTCCTGGGGTTTAAAATCATTAAAGAAAGTGAAATTAATTTTCTTGGTTAATCAGCTTTTTCAACTGAGGTGTTCATAGAAAAATTTTTTAAAGACTTATTAGGATTTGAAAATAAAGAAATACCTTCACACCAAAATTTTTTTTTAAAAAAATATTTTTCATATTTTTAAATCTATTAATCGTTTTCATAAATTTTTCCGAAGAATATTAGAAATTATCTAAAATATTAAATTGAAAGATTTTAACAGGAGCTTCTCATAATTACTCTCGAAAAAGGGAGGTTTATATTTATATCCATTAAATCTTATATCTCTTTATTCATTTTGGCATAAAGTTTGATGAACAACGCCATGATATTTTCTTTAATCACTTTTAAAGATCACCTTAAATTTGGCCTTGACTGCTTGGATATCTTTAGTTCTATCTAAAGCTGTTTTACCCACAGTTTTAACACATCAATCAATTTTTGAACCTTTTATTAAAAAAAAATTTTAAAATACTCTCATCAAAACCCCCTTTGGAATATATTCAACTATTATAAAATGCTGATCCTACTAGTGATTATGAATGGTTTAAAGTAATTAACAAGTCATAACCTAGGCAGTGGCGTAGCCAGGATTAATCCATGGGGAGGGGGGTTAAAATTTCCCTTGGGAGCTTCGCCCCAAACCACATTTTAAAAATTTGCCAATATTTTGTGCTTTATTAGTGCCTAACCACTATAATTGCCAGCATAAATGAAAAAAATATTAGTAACAATACGCGACTGAAAGCATTATTCTGAAAATTTTATCAATGTATAGTCATAAATTAATTCAATCCATTCGGTGTATAAAGAAGAAAAAAATCGCCCCCCAAACCTCCCATTTTTTATGATCACTCAATATATTTTATTCTATGTTAAAAATAATTATTTTAATTAAATTTTTGCATATAACAAAATTTTGCAGAGAATTTCATTATAGATTTTATTTATTATTAAAATACTTTAGTATAAATAACACACTCTTTATTTAACTATGTATTTATTTTAATGATAATATACAATAAAATAAATTTCAAAATGTAGAAATTTTTTTCAGATTATATTAAAAATTTATTCTATAAACTATATTTAAAAAAAATAAAATTACAATAAAATATGAGTAATTCTTATACGGTATTTTAAAAAATCTAATTTAACAATTATAATTAATACAAATGAGTATATTAATAAAACATAAATAATTCTTATTAAAGATCTGCAAAAGTAGGAAAATCAGGTTCGGGTTGGGTGGGGCCTAATATTTTTCAAAAAAATCGGGCCGGGTTGGGTCAGGTCTTGATAATTTTTTTAAATATATCTAAATATATCAATTTTATGTTACAATTTTTATGTAAAATAAAAATATTTGATTTTATTTATAAAAACTAGACGCCATATAACATATATCTTTTATTTTGAGTAATTATAAAAATGAATTTCTATATTTAAATAAATTCGGGCCAGGCCGACAAAACTTTATAAAACACATTTCGGGTTCGGGTCGGCAAAACTTAAAAATAATTTCGGGCCAGGCCGGGCTTGAAAAATTAGGCCAGATGTAGATAACTAATTCTAATTGCAAATGCAATATTTTTATTAAAAATAGTATAATATATAAATATTATGACTAAGAATTCATTATAATTACGTTTTGAGTATAGCAATTATATTATTAGGTCCACTTTTCTCTGAGATTTGACTAATTCATTAGAATCAAATTTTTATCTAGAATATTCTCCTTATAAATATTTAATATTGCGAAACCATTTAAACGGCTTTCACCGGTGCTATTTCTTAAATAGGTTTTTAACTTTTCAAAGTTGAAAAAGACCTTTCATTAGTGCAGGTGCTAATCGGTAAGGTAGCTAAAATAAAAAGCAATGTTTTGATATTAGGCAAGGAATCTAAAGTGAATTACACATGGAAAGGGCCTGCAAAGCATTTTTTGGTCTCAAAGAGTACTCTATTCTGTCAAATTTATATCAAAATTCAACATCACAAAGTAACTTATCATAATATCCTGTCAGAATAAAACTCTGAGATTTCTTAATATCCTCTCGCGTTTCAAGTGTATTCAGACTCAACCGGCAAAAGAAAATAAAAGCTGTTTAAAATAAAATTGTGACTAATAAATCTTTCCTTTAATTAAAATATAAATGTAAATAAGGGGAGTAAAAATATTTATTTTATAAAAATCCTCAATCGTAGATACATCAATATTTAAGCGAATGGACTATCTAGAAACTATTCTAGGTTAAAAAATTTTAATCTCAAACATATTAGCGATTACCTTTACTTTCTAATTATATTCATCAAATTAAATGATTTTTCTTTTACTTAAAAATTATAAAAAATTAGTTAAAATTTTTATAACTATCTAATTAATTTAAAAATATAAATTTTATTTAATTTTTAATATATATTTTTAAACCATGTGATCATTTAAAATTGAAAATTCTTATTTGTTTTTTTTAATATATTTCATTTTGATATCGTATATAAATTTATTTATAAATTGAAACCGTTTTTTAAATAAAATTATGCGCAATATGAAAAAAATTTTCTTCGAAGGTTATGAGAGGGGGGTCAGCCACAACCCCCCCCCCTTCTCTACGTCACTGAACCTAGGTAACCTCTTATCAGATGAACAATTAAGAGTTGCCATGGGCCATCGAATTGGATGTAACATAGTTCAACCACAATGCATAAAATGAAAAATATCAGTTGATTCCAAAGGTAGCCATGGTCTTAATTATATATATAGGCATGTTAGACATGCAACGTTTAAATTAGTCATTAGCCGTTGTTTTACGAAGGCTCGAATACCAAACATTTTGGAGCCTGCTAATTTATCATCAGATGATGGCCTAAGGCCATAATTTAACTTCTGTACCTTGGTCTTTTAGTTAAATTCTTAATTTGGGGCTTCACATGCGTCTCTTCATTTATAAAAAAAAATGTAAATCCCAACGGCCGGTTGATATAGCCGAGAAATAAAAAATTAACATTCGAAATTAACAAATTATATTTTTTTACCAATCGTTATCTCTTTCTTTGGACATATGTCAAGCGTAACTTTAAATATAAGCGGTAAATGAATCAGAACCAAAGGAATTTTATTACTTAAGCAAAATATTCAAATTTGGAATATGATTATAATAATATTATAAATTCATTTAAAATTAAAAAAATTATTTTAATTCCATTTTATTAGAAAAATTGAGTAAAAGTGCTTACAAATTAAGTAGAAGCGTTTAGTTGTTTTCCTAAAAATGCTGTTGTTTAAATTGTTATTTATTTTATAAAAATGGTGAAAAATAAAATACTATTTTACGTTTTTTAATTTTTTATATTGTTTAGTTAGCTACTACACTATAAAAATATTTGTGTTCATATTCATTTGTGCTAAAATTTAATAATACATGGTCCTACATTGGAACACCGGAAACCCAAATAAATATAAAATCAATTATATTTTAAAATTTTATTTATATGGAGAATAAAGATCAACCAGCATTAATTTACTTTGAACTATCTAACGATTAGAATCAAGGTAAGGAGAATTGTAGAGATAATTTGATATTATAATTAAAGTTATTTTAATATATTGTACGGAACGAAGAGAGAGGGGATGTTAAAATCTCCAAATGTGAGTTACTAATATATCAGTAAGTTATATCAATGTGCATTGTATAAAAATAATAGTGATTGGGAGGTATATAAAAAATGTGGTATTATTAGATGTTATATATAATTTGCCTTTCAGGTTTTTAGGAACAATAATCTACTAGAGAAATTTTTCATTAAAATGAGATTATCTTTTATTATTTACATAACAGGTTGAAAAAATCTTTTAAAAAAATTAACTCAGAAAATTTAATTCAAAAAATTTAAGAAAATTTAAAAAATATTACTTAGCAAAATCGTCTATTATTTTTAAAAATAATCTGAGAGAATCTAAAAATTCTTAGCCTTCAATATTATTTTTATCTTGATTAGAAAAAATACTAAGCTATTTATTAAAATTTATAATTAAGTATAAAGTACATTTTAAAATTTTATGATGTGGGGGGGGGGGGGGTATTTATTGAGGTAAAAACCGAACCAAAATGCTTTCTCCATATTTACAACCATGATTGTGAGAGACGAGAAAGAAATTGGCTAATTTATTATCAATCAGATAAAGGAAAGATCCTTAAAACATTTTGAGTATATAATTTAAGGAACTTTGGTAGGTAAATTAATATTAAAATGTTGTTTTCCTTTAAATAAAGCATTCGCAATATATTTATTGTTTCGCAAATAATTCGCGGTAGAAAATTCGCTATAAAGGGTTTGCAGTAAAAGTTTAGCCATAACGAGTTCGTGATAAATGTTCCGCTAAAATATATTCGCTATAAAGTATTGACGGTTAATGTTTCGCGGAAATAAATTGGGAATAATGGGTTCCCGATATAGTTTGTATATGTTTCGCACAAAAAAATTAGAGGAATTAGTTTTCAGATTTTACCTTCGCTATAAAATTCCTTCGCAATAAAAGTTTAGCAATAAGAGATAGCTTAATTGTCCTGATACGATATAAATTATATATGAATTTGCATACTCGTGTTAAATTATTATTAATGAAAGAATAATTTTGTAAAGATTATTTATTATTGTAACAAAATAATTGAATAATTTTGAATTAACCATTGAAATCAATATGAATATTTATAGGCTACAGCACAAAACATTAAAACTAACATTAACACCAATCGATATGCCTTTTCTTCTTTTTTTTATAAAAATAATAGAATAAGAAATGATTAAATTGTTGAATTTATTAAATATTATACGTATGATTAGAGGCACCATCCATCTTCAGTTTTTCCAACAAGTAAAATAGCTTAAAGGAAAAACTAGGATTAGATGGTAGAAGGGCTGACAGATTGCTACATCCCAGTACGTAGGGTTTATAATCAAAGTATTTGCCATTCACATCATAATAAGAAGATCTCGAGACTATTACTGATACATAATCTCTATTGGTCAATGTATTTAATATTGCTTGAGTTACAGCGAGTGCGCGAGGTTTGCTTGTTATTAGTTTTTGAATATATAAAAACAAACTTATAAATTATTTTAACAGGAAATAATTAATTTTTTATTACAAAAGAAAATTTTAAAAAAAATTCTACCTTTTTGCCATAGTGGAACTGGTGTCAAATATGATGATAACGTTCTTAGGTTTAGTGATAGCTGCTATATACCAAGGTCTTACTCTTGGGTCATAATCATGTCCAAGATCTTTAGAGCCCGTTCCGAAGGATCTTACGGGAAAACTCCGAAACATACCTGTTGTTGAACCAAAATATTGATACCTTACCGTATTAATAGTAAATTTTATTAAAGTGGGAAAAATAAGAGTTATCTACAATTTCTTAAATTTACTATTTAATATTTTAAAATAGGCACAACATTATTATATGGTTTAAACTGTAGCTTTGAAAGTCGGCCAGAAGCCAGGCTCGGGATTTAAATTTAAAAAATATCTGTCCAGGTTTATTTTTTAAATCGAGTCTATAATATTTTCGAGAATTAGGACAAAGCATTTAGTGATTTTTTATTTTAATTAATATTTTTCAATAAAAAAATTGCAGCCGAAAGACATCGAGATTCTCTAATTTTTGCTTAATTTTTGTTAACTTTCTATTAAGGAATAATATTAAATTACACAATAATAAATATGATTTAAATTAAGTAATTTATTTTAAAAATCAGTCATTTATAAATCGATTTTTTGAATTCAATAATATTCTAAACATCCTATTTTTAGGTATTAGTTATTATGTAGAATAAGGTTAACTCATAACGAAACTAGTAAACTGACATAAAAGAGTTAGTGGCCAAATAATAAATCTCAACGGTCAATTGACCAAATAACAATGCTTCTCCCCTAACAATACCCAATAAAATAAGGATAAAAAACAAGAATGACCGATATCAAGATAAAAAGACAACAACGATGCTACTGCTATCATAAGACGATAAAGAATGAATATAAAACCCTCTGGAAAGACTACTAAAGAAAAATAAAATAGAAATAATTCTTATTTGTTATTTATCAAATAATTTTTTTTGTTATTTGCAATATATAAATTTTATATAATTATTAGTCGTATTGTATCTGCCCCCCCCCGGATAGTTTTCCAATGAAAGGGGATGTGTCGTAAGTGACAGTATGAGAGTAGCATTTATAGACATTTGCAATCAACTACTTTCGTTTATCAAGGAAAATGCGATTATTGATTCCTTAGTTTTTATCAGAGACCTGCAGGCCCGGCCCTAAACCCGGCCCGGGCAGGGCCGGGCCGTATTTTAAATTTTTAAAATATACCCGGGCCGGGCCTAAAAAAAATTTTTTAAACATATCCGGGCCGAGCCGGGCCTAAAAAATTTTTTTTAAATATATCCGGGCCGGGCCGGGCTTAAGATTGTTAAACCCGGGCCGGGCCTTAATATTTTTTATAAAAATTTTTACATTATTAGTTAATGGTTATAAGATTATATTATATTATAGTTATGATTAATATAATATTGGGTGATGGTTAACACTACCTAACCCACAGATCGATCTAATTATTAATTTACTGCAAATTTATTCAAAGTATTAATATATTTTTTTATAATTCATATCTAAATTTTTCCAACATATTTTATCAAAACAATCAAATATAGGAATATCTTAAATAAGCCCCAATATTCAAGTATTATTAATATATTTTTTTATAATTCATATCTAAATTTTTAGAATATATTTTACCAAAACAATCAAATAAAGGAATATCACTTCTTAAAGTTTGTAATTGATTTTAATTAATATAAAGCATTTTTTAATTGAAAAATTTGTTTTACACAAGTATCATTTTATTTCTCTTTTTCTCTGTCCCAAATTCAAGCAATTACGTAAGTAGGCAGGGACAGATCGCAAAATGACGGAAAACTATATAAAAGATTATATTAAATTACAAGAGGCTCAGGAAGTAAATGAAATACCATCGACCAGTCAAATTACGACTGTTGCAAACTGAATCGTTTTATGACAAATGGGGCGATGGTAATTCTGGTAATATGTCAATACCCGATGATGAATATTATAATTACATAAATAAAAAAATAGATGAAACATTTAAGGTGGATAATTTGTTAGAATGGTGGGCGGCTAATCAAAGCGAATTTCCAATTTTAGCAAAATTGGCCCTGCTTCAAGTGCAAGCTGTGAGCGGAATTTTTGCACTACGAGAATTCTTGAAGAAAGAAGAAGTAATCTTCAACCTGAAAAGGTAGATATGCTTCTCTTTCTTCATGATAATTTGTGAATTTTTAATATCTTTCTTGAGTATAGGGTTTCGTCAATCATGCTGGTTTTTTACTTTGCAAACTGTCAAATATTTATTGCATTTATTATATTTACCTTGAGTCATGAAAGTTTTTAATCCAACATTTTTCATTATTTTTTTTTACAATATTATATAATACAATTATCTTCTTTTGTTAAAAATTTATATTATAAAATAAAATATATTAATATTGTGCAATTAAGATTATATTTTCAAAATACTATTTATTATACATGCATTTTTTTAAATAGCGATTTATTTTTATTTTATAAATTAAATAGTAAATTAAATACAATATATTATATTCTCAAAATATTTTCCATTTTTATAAATTAAATATTAGTTTTATTTTTTTTAAATGTAATATAAAATATAGTATATGACAAATATTATTACCATTTTTATGAATATTAGTTTTATTTTTATCAATGCAATATAAAATATAGTATATGCTCAAAATATCCATTTTTATAAATAACAGTTTTATAATTTTTATAAATTCAATATAATATTCTCAAAATATTAGCTTTTTACATGTATTTTTTAAATAATAAGCGATAATACTCGCTGAAAAATATGGTAAAATACCTCATAGGTGAATTTTTGTATATACCAGGTCGAATATAATTTTAAAAAATTTCGAGCCGGGCCTTAAATTTTTAAATCCGGGCCGGGCCGTAAAAAATTTTTTTTAAATATCCGGGCCGGGCCGGACCTAAAAAATTTAAAACCGGGCCGTGCAAATGGTACCTCTGCAGGTCTCTGGTTTTTATTATATATTTAGATATGGTGATTGTTTTAGTATTATTTGATTTTCAAACTTAAACAATAATAAGGGAATTCAGCTGGTATTTAGTGATTTATTATTTCAATAGCATCATCTACTCTTTGGTTTATATTGTATATAAATGTTTCCTGAGATATAAGTCCTTCTAATTCATTATTACAATTTTTGCACACTGTTCGCTTCATCTTTCTAATTTAATCTCGTTAAAAGAATTTCAAATAACGATCTGTTATAGATGAATAAGAAACGAAATTTATTTAATTAACTAGCAAATAACGTGTCAAAGATGAAGAGTGAGTGAGTCATAAATTTTCCTTTAGGAATGAATTAGATAATTCGTTACGACGAATCAGAAATTTTTATTTATCTTGGTCAAATATTAAGGATAGTAGGGAAAACCAGGGATGATTAGGACTCTTTTCGTTTAAACTTATATAATTTCGATAATATTAGACTAATTTGAATAAATAAAACATCTTCTAAAGCCCAAAGATATAGACTATTTGAAATAATTAATATAAATATTTTATATAAAATATAAATTTTTAGAAAATTGAAACTTAAAAAAATATATTCCTGTTCCAATCATGCTATACTCTGGTACGTTGGAAAACCTATATGTGCTAGTAGAGGACCACTAATAAAATAGAGATTTAAATATAAAATTAATTTTTTTTAAAATATTGTTATAATACTAGAGGCTTTAAAGTATATTAATTTATTGGTAATATTACACTATAATTAGGTATATTAAATTGAATTTAGAGATTTTAGGATTTTGCAAAAAAAATATTATTTCTTTATATTATATTAAATATTGATTGATAAATATTCATTTAAAATTATTCGCATTTGTTTTATTCAAAATAGAAAATAAATGTACAATAATTAAGAGGACAAATTATATTATGACCAACCATGATCCAGCCCACTAACTTTATATTATAAATATCATCTAGAATCATATTAATTCATATTTTATATTTCTGAAAAATTGTCAGAATAGAAAATAGGACTTAAACCAGAGATGTGAACCCTTCGACAAAAAAAAGGTCCAGGTTCAGAGTTTGGAGAACATAAAAAAATATTGATTCAAATTTACATTTTTTTTTCATTCATGTATAATTAATTAAATAAATGTTTGACTTAATCGCATAATCATAACATCTTCTAAAATAACACCTTTGAGATTTCCATGCAAATCTGACAATATGTATTATAAAGAATAATATGCACAATCTATTCTGACCTAAAGTTAATAGCTATCTTTATAATACACTATAAATGTGTCGCCAGTCTAAATAGGATATATAGTTGTGGATATATTGAAGAATATTCTTCCTAAAATTTTAAAATATTTGGGTCCTTATTTATTTTCTTAACCTGTGAGAACTTTTCGATTAAAGATGTAATAGAAATTTGTGGTTCCTCCTTTTTGTCTGATGATAATTTTTTTTTGTCTCTCTAAAAGTAAATTTTCAAAGTCATAAACATCATTATTATCAATACAACCGTAGATGCGTTGGTAGCTTCCAATATATTGCAAAGAATGGAGTTGCATATACTATAATTCTTTAAGATAGTCTTTAGCCATCTGTTTCTGCTTAATATGCAATAGAACTTGATATCGAGGATCTAAATATATAGAGGCATATACTAAACTGTTTTGAATAGTAAAACTCTGGAATTTTCATGTTTTCAAATATTTCATATGAAAAAGAACTAGTTAATTTTATAAAAATCCAAATCTTTTTTAGCCAATCATAGATGATGTAATTATCTATATTAGGCTTAAATTTCCAATCTTATAAATTAATGGTTTTAATTATAATTGGAGTGGACTAACGTTCCCCTGTACTTATCGTGCTCCGGATTTCCCTAGTTTAAACTATGCACAAATTATCCTTCAAACCTATTTTTAAGATATCGATTTCATTATATCTCAAAAAATTGTTATTACAAGTACAGTATAAACTTTTTCCAACTATATTTTCATTTAAGCATTTTTATAGTAAGGATCTAAAATGTATATCCCGTTAGGGAAGGTTATACATATTATATTATTAAAATGATAAACATATTTAAATATTTCACCAAAATAAATATAAATTTCTGTTCTCCGCTCATCAAATTAAGGGAAATTATCTGATACAACTCATCAAATTAGGGAGAAATTTATGATTCATCCATTATT